CCCCCGGGCACGCAGACCGCAGCCACCCCCAGGGTGCCAGGACAAACCCAGGCTCTCAAACCACATCCTCCTGCGCCCCGTGCCCCCTGCCCAGCACCCCCGTTGCCCACAGAGGTGTCCTGGGCACTGAGCCTCCCTGCCAGCAGTCCCCACAGCCTGGGGACCTCGCTGGCTGCACGCAGCTCCTCTCGACCACACTCAGCGCACATCCACGGGCGTCTCGGTGCAGGAGCACGCGTGGCTGCGCACAGCCGAGGGGCACCGAAGCCCCCGGGCAGGGCCCTGCCATCCATCCTGGCTCCGAGAGCTGCCGCGTGCTTGAGCAGACCACGAGCACGGTGCCCGAGCCCGTTTCCACACGGCTAATTCAATAAGTCCCAGCTAGCATTACTTCATACGGCAGAGAGGCTCCACAGCTATTAGGGGAATTGGGAACGGGGGGGTGGGGGTGTGTGTGTGAGGTGGGGGGGAGGAGCTGAAATGGAGAAGGGAGAGAGACAGGGAGGGTGGAGAGGGGGAAGCTAAGACAAGCAGCAGAACAAAACATCCCATAAATCATGAGGAGCTGCTGAAATACCAGAACAAATGACCCCATAGCTTGGCCATTGTTCCTGAGCGATGGCTTAAAGCGCTCCCAGTCAGACAAAGCGCCTCTCCTTTCATTTCAGCGCCGCGCCAGCCTGTCCAGGACCTGTGCTCAGCACAACCGAGCGGGGAGCCAGGACGGACGGACAGACAGGACCAGTGGGATGGGGAGGGTGAACCCCCCGGAGGGCTGCATGCCCGTGCCACCAGCGGGTACCCACACCTCTCCGCTTGCCAAGAGCATCTCTTGGCTCCCAGGTGCCCACACAGCACCAGGGCTCGGATGTATTTTTCTGAACACATCAGGGGCTGTTGCTCTCTCTTGTTGCTCCTTGCTCAGGCTGGGACCCACTTGGTTGGGAAGAGAAGCGCATCCACATCTTCACGTGGACGTGGAAGCCAGGAGTAGGACCCCACGGGTCAGGCTGTGTTACCCAGAGCAGCACGGAGCCCTTCGTGGTGCTGTTCCTCCCTGGCTCCCCAAAACCTGCTGACAATTCCCGTGGTGCTTGGCAAAGAGACAACCAGCCAGCAAAGAGCTGCACCAGGAAAGTCCCGAGTGCCAGGTTGGAAACAGCAGCTCGGGGCCCTGCAACCCACGGGACGGTGGCACTGCGGTGTCAGGAGGTGAGCACCGCGTGGGCACGGGGCACCCACGCTGCCTGCCCACGGCAGGAGGCACCCCCCTGGCACGGCTGCGTTAAATGGGGGCAGTACAAAATTCCGAATAATTCCATGGAAGCATTTCCACGAAACTCCTTTTGCTTTAGAAGCAAACCCATGACTCGGAGCAGCGTAAGAGCAGGATGAGCCCGGCGGTGACACGCCAGGTCCCCGCTCTGACCCGCGCCGCCGCCAGGCTTCTGCGCCTCCCTCCCCTTGGCAGAGGGGAAGCCAGGGACTCGCTCAGCACCTCGCCAGGGGCTGAGCAGCAAAAACAAGGGGCTGGCTGCCTCCCGCGTGTCTGACCACCAGACGACGGGCTCCTGCCAGCAGCTCCGGCAGCCTGCGGTGGGCAGCCAAGGAGCAGAACCGAGATAACGGCCGGGGAAAGGAGGAATGCGCTGCATTTTTTCCTGAACCGCCGGGGGAATAGAGAGCTCCGAGCACAGCTCGCAGGGAGGCTGCCCGGCACGAAGCACGTGGAACTGGGGGGAGCAGATAGAAATAGCGAGGAGAGAGGGGAGAGGGAGACAACAAAACAACAAGAAACAGGTGAGACAGGAGGCGAGTATGGGAAAATAAAAATAAACAGGGCAGCAGGAAGGCAAGCAGAGGCGTGGATGGAAGAGCGAATACCAGAATGAGAGGTAGGAAAGGAAAAGAAAGACACAAAGGGATGCCAGGAGGACAAACTGCTGCTGGGTGCCAGAGCTGGAAGGGCACGGGGGGGCAGAGAATCCCAGGCTCCACATGTGCAGGAGTGGATGCAAACAGCAGGTTGCAGCCTGCCTGTGTGATTAAGGAAAAAAGAGAAATGTGGATCATTTCCTAGGTGGCACACACGGAGAGGAGGCTCTCCCTTCACCTTGGTTCACCCTAAGGGGGAAAAAGGATTGCTCGCGTTTCTCAGAGGGCTCTGCAGAGACACCGAGAAGTCTCCGCAGGAGCTGCCAGGTTTCTGATTCTTAACTCCAACAGCAGAAGGTGTTGAGCTGCAAATACAGAGCACTTTTGTCTCTCTTGCCTTCGTGTTATTTAGGGTTTGGAGCTAGATCAGTATCAGAGACAAACAGAGAGCAGAACAGCAACAAATCAGCCCAAGAATCCTTCCCTTCCTCCACTGCCAGTTTTGGCCTCATTTGGAGCTCGCGCCGCCTCGGACATCCACGAGCCGTGGTGTGTGCTGTCCAGCACAGGGGATGGGAGAGGAGTCAGCAAAAGCTGTCCTGATAAACACAGACACGAGCAGCCTCCAGGCCTGTCCCCTGAGTGCTCAGGCTTCGTGCCGCGCGGTTCCTGCTGATGCACCAGCATGGGGCTGCTGCAGCGTGAGCGAGCAGCGCCCTGCGGGGCCACGGCACGCTCCCCGGCCCTAACAGTGGGGACTTTGTGGCCCTGGCTTGAAAAAAAATACCCTAAAAAGCCTAATAATGAAGTATTTGCTTCAGTAAACAACATATGAATGAAATAAGTGTTTCCTCAATACGTCCCTTTTTCCCTGCCTTCTCTCCCTCCCCCCCCCCCCCCCCCCAGCAATTTTTTTTAATAAGTGGAACTAACGAGACTGCTCTCGGTTGCTGCTGAGCTCAGGACAAGACTGTGCCCCTCTTGCCTGGTATAGCCCTGGGACGTGTGCCGGGCTGATAAAGCGTGCGTTGTGCCTGGCAGGAGCGTGAGCCGTGAGCACGGCTCGCCTGGTGGACGGGGGAGATGCTCAGGGGGGTGCTGGGACCCTGAGACCCTAAAACCTGCGCCTGGGAGCATCCACACACCTACGGGTGAGCACGATAGCTGTTTGCTATCGTGGCAGCAAACAGCTGCATTTCCCAGCCCAAATTGCTGCCAGCACCCAGGGGGGAGCCAGGAGGGACAGGGAGAAGGGAAAGGAGAGGCTCAGGGATCTGCTGTCCCCATCCCGATGGCACTGCTCCAGGCAGGGGACACGGTGCCAGGCAGGCACGGTGGCACTGCACGGCTCCTCCTCTTTGTCCTTGGCTCCATCCAGTACCCCCTGAGCACCTACTGGGAATGCTGGCAAACTGACTCAGCGTGCCCTGAGTGAGGATGCTTTCTGCTGTGGCAGAGGAATGAGGAGTCGGACTGGCAGTGTTTTGGCAGGGGTATCGGGTAGAAAACCCTAATTCCTCCCCCAGACTGACAGCCAGCTTTTCAAAGCAATGGGTGCCGGTGATTTAGCTCTCCTATTCTCTGAGTCTGCCTAGTAGAAAGGCAACAGGTGGTGGCAGGTCCCTGAGGCCTTCCTTGTCTTCAGGCCTTGGGCTTAGACAGGCATGAGTCTCAAAAGCTGCTGATTTGGGAAACCAGAGTAAATTCCTGCACTGCTCCCGGCTCTTCTGCTGAGCCACGGCAACGGGAAAGCCTCGGCAGCTGAGCTGAGCACACCAAGGTGGACGGGCTCCTCTCCCCACGGCCACAAGTCCAAAATCCCCTAAGGACCAGCAGCCGACAAGTCAAAGGCGATTTATCCTCGCCTTACAAGGTCCCCATAAACCAGCATCGCTCACCGCTGCTGCGCTGCCCCTGCCCTACACGGTGCTGTGCAGACCCACACGGCACAGGCAGCATCCCCGAGGAAAACGCTGCAGAGCAAGCAGAAACACACCTCGAGGCGAGGGGGAAAAGTGGGACCCGGGGGGGTTAAAAGAGGCACTACCAGGGAGAAGAGAGACTTACTGACTGCTCTGTGCTGAATAAAGAGAAACGCTGCCGGGTTTTAATGAGCTCTTTGCTTGTTTTCCTGATTGATAGATTTTAAATTCACATATTTGTCTATCTGGAAGACTCAGAGGGACTGAAGAGCAGCTTTTCTGATGACATCGTTTCAGCAAAGGGGAGTTGCGCAGCTGGAGAAGAAAGCAATCTGTCACCAAATAGCTTAAATTCTTTGTCTGGCCTCATTAATACCTATTTAGCTTTGATGCCTAACAAACCTCACAGATAGAGGAAGCCTTTGAGAAGGCCTCCACAGCCTCACACGTAAGTGTTAGAACATGGAATAAATGCCAGAAAGTTCTCCAAAAAAAGCAGGGAAAACGAAAACCAAACTCGACATTCTTGCAATTTCTAAGCATTTCTTTTTCTCTTTCTTCTTCTTCTTCTTTTTTTTTTTTTTTTTTTTAAAGCCTTACCCTCCTTCATCCATCTAAGGAAGCGGAGAGCAATGCAATTTCCAGTTCTTTTAAATATCCTTAGCAGGTCACCTCCAGCACTGGAAGGATTGTGGACTGTGATCTGGTTCCAAGGCTGTTGCATCAGAGCTTAGAAACCCGGGATAAATCCCTCCCTGCTCCAGCCAGGGCTGCAGCCCGAGCCCCGAGCTGAGCGGGGGCCCCACGGGGTGACACAGAGCGGGGAGGATGGGGCCGGGGGCAGCGCTGCCCCATGGCTGGGCTTTGGGACGATGATGGCCCCAAAAGGACCCGGCACCCAGGGGCTGGGTGTCACCCCCAGGCTCTCCCCCAGGCTGCAGGGACCGGGCACAGCGGGCTCACGGCCGCTTCCCTGCAAGCCCCAAGGGATGCTCTGCTGGGGGGGGTCCTTTTACCCCATAGCAGAGGAGCCCGTTTGGGGCTGCCTGCTGCTCCCAGCAGCGGGGTGAGGGGGATTTATGGCTCGGTGCCCCGGGGGAGCTTTTGTAGCAGCTTGGATCTGTGAGGTTTGGGAACAGGGGAGAGGAGGGGGACTGGAGAGGCGGGGGCTGCTTGCCCCCAGCCCTGTCCTGCAGCTCTTACCATTCAATGCTCAGAGACCTGGGCCGGAAGGCAGACAGCTCGGCCGAGGCATACTCAGCTTTCCTTCTCTTCTCCTGCTTCTGCTTAACTGACAAGCGGTGGGCAAACCTAGAGAGGCTGCTTTCCGACCTGGGGAAGGGGAGAGGAAAGGCGTTAATGTCACTGCAGCACCCCGGGGCACGGGGGCCACCCGATGCTGGGGGCTGCGAGGGGCACAGGGGGGCTCTGGGAGGGCCAGCAGCACCGGGACGGGGCAGCACGAGCCTGGGGAAAGCCAGCCAAAAGCCAGCCAGAGCCAGCAGAAGCTGCAGGAACACGGGCTGCTCCTGCTTCTTGCAGCACGAGGACGGCAGAGCATCGGGCGAGGGAAGCGAAGCGGGGAGGACGGGCAGGCTGCTGCCAGCCCCAGCCCTGCCACACGTGCCCGCAGCCCTGGGGGGCTCCGGCACCATCCCTGCTGGCAGCACAGCCCCTGCTGAGCCCCCTGGCATGGCCAGGGCGAGGAAAAAACCTCTCCTCCTCCTCCTCTGCAGCAGGGAGAGGCCATCGGGACATCGCCCACCGCCGCCCGGCACCGCCGACCACCACGAGCCATCAGAGCCGGTGCTTCTGCTCCCCGGAGTCCCGACCGGCTTCAGCCGTACAAAATACCTCTTAAAACGCCATAAAATGAAAAGAAGGTATTTCTCAGAAATGAGAGCTCCCCGCCTTTCCTCACAATAATTAAATAAGCCATGAGCAGCTAACAGTTTTTGTGTTTGTTTTTTTTTTCTCCTCCCGATACATTTTAAACACGGACATCTTCAATTCATTAACTCTGGTTATTGATTTATTTTTCGGCTTATGAATTGCTGTTGCGCAGGACGGGGTGGAGACAGCTTTCTGGAGAAGGCACTTGTCTCCACCATCACCACCGGGAAGGAGCTGCTCGGGCCTTCCAGGGCCATTCCTCACATTCTTGAGAAGAAACGCTACTTTGAGGGAAAGGTTTGCCTTTAAAGAAACTCCACGAGAAACCCAAACCCCGGCTTTCCCCCTCGGAGCACTGGAGGAAAGGGCGTTGGGCGAGGAGCAGCTCAGGCACCCCGGGGAAGCCCACGGAGCAGAGCCTGCCACACGTACCCCATCCCTGCTGCCTCGCCTCTCCCTTCAGCCCGTGCCAAAGTGCAGCTGAGATGAGCAACGTGCTGGGTTGGAGAGGCTCAGGGCACCCTCTGCTCCTCTCCAGATGGTCTGTGGGCTTTGGGACCTGCCTGGGGCACACGTTCCTGTTGGCTCTGCTCGTCTCATCCCCACCACTCCATGCCCAGCCATCCCAGCCCTCGCTCCTGATCTAGGTACCCACAACTCAGCCAGGATATGGGGTCAGGAGCGGCTCAGCAAATCCCAAACCGATGGATGTCAGCAGCCACCAGCCACATGGAGCAAGCTCCTCATCCTCCCTCCAGCCCGGTGGTGTGGGTGAGGAGGGTGTGCGTGGGCATGGGGGGACCCAGGGAGGTGCTCAGAGGGCTCCAAGCAGCTGGACCCCAAAGCTACGGCAGAGCCTTCGTTTCCTTTCCCAGTGAGAAAGCCCCGAGCACGTTACGGTATCATCTGGCTATTTATACGGTGCTGCTTTACATAAACTGCGCTGCAGGAGAGGGAATGAATCATACCTGCTCTACCCGGGCTGCACGAGCACCAGCACAGCCGCAGCCGGCCCCGCTGCAGCCAGCACCCTCCCCGGGGCCACGCGCGGCTCTGCGCCGAGCTCCTCTTTGGGGACACCCCCGGGGATGTTCCCAGGTCCGTGCATCGTGCCTGGGCTCCGTGGCTGATGCCTGCAGCAGGGTGAGCCCCTAGCACCACGGGGATGCTGCGGTCACTACGCTTTCATCCCCCGGGTGCTCTCCAAACTCTCTAGATGCCTCTTTCCCTTGCTCGGTGTTAGAGCCCTTAGGGTAAGGACAGGGAAACTGAGGCACGGAGCAGCCGTTTGAGCAAGGAAGGTTTGCCTGTGGCTGCCAGCATCCGTCCCCTTGCACGCTTCACCGGCCAGCAGGATTTTTGTGCCTCCTCCCACGGCACCCGCACGCCCTGCCCGGCACAGCAGCACCCGCCGGGCTCCCAGGGGTCCCAGACGCCGCCCGGGAGCCGAGGGGATGAGCAGCAAAAGCCCTCGATTGAAACATCAACCGCAGCGATGGGGAGAACCGTCTCCTGACAACCAGAGAAGGTTGTTCAGCTACTGTGCTGTATCATAAATCACACCTCTCTGACTTGCCATCTGTCAGCCAGATTACACATGTTCAGAGTCCCATGTCAGCGTTTAAGGCAGAACACAGCATCTTTTTTCCCAGAAATAATTACCGGCCCTGGAGACTCCTGCAGCAATGCCCGGGGAGTGCCACGACTCGTCCCTTCCCTCGCGGCAGCAGCTCGGCGGAGCAGAACCGGCAGCGACGGCGCTGGGGACACGGGGACGCTGCTGCCTGCAGGGCGGGGGAATGGGGAGACCACAGGCAACTTCTGCCCCATAAAACCACAGCGCTGTGCCCACGAGGGGCCGGCAGGACCTGCACAGCCCCCCGGCACCAGCCCCAGCCACGGCCAGGCCCAGATGCTGGGGCTGAAGGCAGAGGGACCCCGCAGCACCTGGCTGGGCTCCCCAGGAGCTCCAGCAGCACGAGCCTGGGGGGCTCAGCACGGTGCTCCGACCCCACAAAGGGAGAGGCTCTGGCTCAGCGCTTGTGCCGTTGATGCCCAGCCTTCCACAAAGGCTTTTTTGGGGGTCTGACCCCTGCACAGCTGCCTGGCAAAGCCCCAGCTCGCTGCAGCAGTGCGAGCAGAGCAGGCGGAGCGGGCTGGCAGCCTCGCCGAGGTGTCACAAGACGCAGCGTCCCCGTGCAGAAACCTGCGCAGCTGCCCTTTCGGATGAGGACAAGAGGCTGAAGTGCTGCCCTCCGCCCCCTCGCTGGCCGGGCAGGCAGATGAGCAGTGACATTTCACAAAGCTGAATTAGGAGAGAAAAACCCAGGGCTCGCTTCGTCCTCCTGGCTTCCCCAGCTGTGCCTAGGTGTGGATCTGACCAGGGGCGTGCAGTGCCTCGGCGCTGCCTCCCCCCGCGCCACACCACAGCGGGGAAGTGATGACAAGCAGGAAATAAATCCCAGAGCCGGGCAGCCCCGTGCCCTTCGGCTCCAGCATCCCACCTGCCCCACGCCTGCCCTGCAGCTGTCCCTGTCCCCGACAGCACCCAGCCATGGAGGTGAGGTGACAGCAGCACTCCAGTCCCACCAGCACGGCCAGCCCAGCCCGAGCCCCCTGCCAGCACCACGGCACCAGGGCTCGAGGCAGCCACGCACCAGCCAGGGAGACATCTTAGCCCAGACAAGAATCACTCCCACTTGTTGCACTCGCTAGCCTGCGACTCGGGAGCTAGCATGTGCTCGTACGCCGCTGCAAATTAATCCAGCTCCTGCAAGGCAGCTGACATCCTCCTGAGCGGGCACGGGCGAGCCAAAGTCCCAGGACGAGGCACGCGGTGGCTGTCAGCAGCCCGGGCACTTCGCAGCACACAAACAAGCAGCGTTTTCAGCTGTTCCTCCCCTTGGGGACAGCGACTGCAAAACCAGCTTTTGAGCAGGGTTTGTGCCTGCAGGCACCCCCTGGCCCGAGCGCCGCGGGTGTCGAGGCTGGGAAGGGGCATCCCCAGGGTGGGAGCCGGTGCAGCTCCTGTGCTCCTGGCAGCTGGGCACTTTGGCTCCTGGAAGTGTTTTATTTGCACAGGTGCAGCCAGAATAAAAGAAGGGAAAAACAACTAAAGCCGGAAAGGTGCCTCCTGAGCAGGCAAAAGCTTTCGGGGAGAGAGCGGCTTCGGAGAGGGGACGTGCACACAGACACACGGCCGCACACATGCAGCCACCCCCCAACACGAACACCGCATGGCAGCCCCTGCACCCTGCCCACCACCACGCACCTGCCTGCACACCTTGGGCACGGCTCTGGCCACGAGCATGTCCCCAAAGCAGCAGCTGGGGACAGAATCCCAGTGAGCTGGGCATTGCTGCGGTGTGCCGTGCCGTGCCGAGCCGTGCCGTGCCAGGACGGATGCCCGGGAGCCGCGCAGCGATGCTCACTCACCTGCACAGCCTCTGCTGCCTTCCCTCCAGGCTCCGCAGGTCACCCCCCTCTGGAGCAGCAGCTCAGCCAAGAGCAGCTCTTCGGCAGCGTCCCTGTCCCCTCGACGCACACAGCCGCACGCACGCTCCCATCCCGGCCGGGAGCACAGCCCCGCCGCGCCGCCCTGCTCCCACCCGCGCTGCCCGAGCTCCTCAGCCACCACCTCTGCCTCCCTCACCCATCACCTCAGGTTTCTCGCTTGGTCTGTGCTTGGCTCTTTTCTTTTTTTTTTTTTTTCTTTTCTTTTTTTTTTTTTTTTTCCTCCCAATCTTGTTTCTATAGAAACGAGATTAGCAGAGGGGGAAATAAAACAGCCCCATGTGACTCAGATTCCGACACTGAAGAATCTCCCGGTCGCGCTCGCCGGTGCTTTACATAACAAGGAGCCTGCGCGGGCTCCAGAGGGGACCTGGTGCGGCACCGGGGGACCACCGGGCAGATGGCAGCAATGCCACCACCTCAGCCCTGGGGTCACCGGGACCCCACTGGTGGCTTTGGGCTCCCTTCATCACACCCAACACAGCAACGTGCCACCAAACCCACTCATGTCCCCCGAGGACACGGAGCCTCCACCACGGCCCCGCTTTGTGGTCCTTTTCTCTCAGGTGTAGAAGGGGCAAACACAGAGCCACCGAGCACTGCCCCGGCTCTCACCAAAACTTCTGGGGTACCCAAGTGAGGCTTGAGGCAGGGCACCCCAAGAGCCCTGATGCTGATGCCCTGCTCTGCCCCTGCCCCTGTGGCTCGGGATGTTGGTTTTGGTCAAGGAACTCCAGTCGTGGTGGCCTGGCCAGTGAAAGCACGGGGTGGAAGCGCCGGGGACGCCGTGCCTCTCGGTGTGCTCCTTCACCTCGGGGACAGATCACCGTGTAGGGCGAGGAGCTCAGCAGCAGCTTCTCCTGGTGCCCAGGTTCCCCTTGGTACTTCAGTGCCCCACTTCTCGCCCTGACTCAGCCGTGATTCCC